GGTCCCCCACCTTCCTTTCTCCTCCGGAGGAGTTTGTGCAAAAGGCAAGTTGTCTTATTTCGACCGGGAGAAGCACAACTCGTTTGCGCTAGCAGAAGGCAGCCCGTGTTTTCTCCCCGCCTCGTGGCGAGGTGGCCTCTTTTTGCCTCCTTGCCCCCATCCTCAGCGCTGCCGGCGGCTCCGGCGGTGGCTTGGTGGCAACCGACGCCGGGGAGGACGTGCCAGACTCTTGTGTTCAAGTCAAGCCAAAGAAATGTAAATACCCTAAAGGCCAGTATGGGGAGGGGAGAATTAAGCAATAACCAGCCGGGGGATCTCCGGGCGTGGGTGGGGTACCGTGGAGGAAGGCACGGCCGGCAGCTGCTGGGGCAGAGCATCAACACAGTTCTTCCAAAACCAACCTGCCGGAGGTCAGGCCGGAGCGGTCCCGGCGAGGCGGCTGGCAGCTCTCGGAGCCGTCTGCAGCTTGGTTTTTTTCGTCTCTTTTTTTTATTTTTTGAGAAAAGAAACCCACCCAAGAGAACCAAAAGCAAAGGAGAATGGCAAAGAATAGGTCATCTGTAAGGATATTGCAATAAGGCATCCCGAACTTTGAATATATAGAGATTACATATATAAATATATCGAGGTATGTATGTTTATATATGTCTGGATCTTATAGACCCATTTGCATTTTACTTCTGCTCTAAAATACCTTTTATACAAAGGATCTGCCTCTCTTCTTTAATGAACCATATAAACAATCATATTTTTTTCTAAGCACTAAGGTGAGAAAATAGACTTTCCTCTCGAGAAGAATATGTATGCAACCGCGTTATAAGTGTGGCTCTTCCCGGTGCAGTCTCCGCTGTATTTTACCAAGGCTTTTCACGCGTCTTTAAGTCTCTTACAGTTTGAATAGATCTGCTAAAGGATGATGGTGATGTGCTAGAAAAAACCCAAGGGCGGCTTCTGAGTATGTCCTAGGGAAGCTAACCTGCCCAGGTGTAATATTTACCATCGGTACCGGAGGGTGAAGCATTACAGCAGCTAATATTCACAGCACAATGCCTTTTTAGTCGATATTTTTAATTAGAGTTTAGCGATTGACAGCCAAAGTTTTGCCATATTTTGATATACTACCTTTTTTTAACTGGAAACTTTTCTTAAAAAAAAAAAAATAATTATTTTATAAATAAGCACAATCTTATTTTTCTAAGAAATGTTGGAGGAGGGAGGCGAGAAGGGGGAACTGGTACCAAAAGAAAAGGAGCGTAGCTATTGGCACAGTGCAAAAAAAATCGCTGTTCCTGTGGTAGGGGAGCTGGTAGGAGAGAGCATCGGGCGCTGCCGTGGCTCTGCGCTGCGGGACCGTGGCACCGGCACAGCGCGTCCCCACCCCAGAGCTGGATCTCACCCGGCACGAGGGATATTACGGGAAAATAAAGTAGATGATAGCCGAACGCTGGCAGGG